TCACAATACCGTTGTTGCATTGAAGGATTTGTTGGCATTAGTTACAGATTAAAGTGATCCGATATGACATGAATGTTGTAGAGGGCTCACTCCATTAATACTTTCCTCTCAGAACTGAGATGCGCACCTAAATGCAGTGTATTTCCAGTCAAACATTAGCCTACTGATTGATTGATTGATTGATTGATTGATTGATTGATTGATTGATAGAAAGAAAGACAGACCGAACTACAGCCTGACATCACGACAGACAGACATATTGCCCGATAGAGAGACAGAGAGCCCGACTGACTGATTGATTGATTGATTGAATGATTTATTGATCGATATATCGATGGATTGATCGATTGATTGATTGATTCATTCATTCATTCACTTATTGATTAAAAGTTTGGTTGGTTGGCTGGTTGGTTGGTTGGTTGGTTGTTTATGGTTGATTGGTTTGTTGTTTGGTCGGTCGGTGGGTTTGTTGGCTGGTTGGTTGATTCATTGGTTGGTTGGTGTGTTAGTTGGTTGGTCGGTCGGTTGGTTAGTTAGTTGGTTGATTGATTGATTGATTGACATACTTATAAAATGATAATGACAATGATAATGATTTTTGCTATGATAATAATTATGGTGATGATGATGATTATGCTGATGATGATGATGGTGATGATTACAATGATAATTAAAATGATGAGAATGATTAATTAAAAATTAATTTTTCAAAAAGTTAGTACACAATCTTTGTATTTATTCATTCAAATGTACTTATAATCAATTAAATATTACTAAATAAATACAGAAAATGATCCGTGAAATTAAAAATCATAACTACGTCATTGTCAAAACTTTATTTCTAACAGTTCAGAATTGAACCCAATATTACACTATAAATTAAAAATGCTATACGAAATGGAGTAAAAAGTTTAAATAACTTACTTTCCTAATTAGGTTGTCCTGTACATTAATTAATTTCATTTGAAAAAAAATCCATTGGTTTTTATTTAGTAAACCTGACTTTAATTACAAATATTTGTTTTACTCAAAATAATTTCCCGTCTTGCGGTTGAGCTGTAATTATATATAAAATTTAAACATTAAAGAAGAGAAATCTGCGATTTCGATAACAGAAAGAAAAACAAAATTGCCCCAATCAGGATTCGTACTCAAGACCTTCTGCTGCCTATGCATATATACAAATATAAATTATAAACGATGAAGAATAAGAATCTGCGAGTAGGAAATACGTCACCCCAACTGGGATTCGAACTCGATCTCTTTTGCTGTCTTTGTGACGCCCTAACCACTGGGTCAGTGGGCTTTCGTTGGAAAACAGACCCTATAATCGGTTAATACGATTGAGGGATACTTTTTAATCTGTGGCTTAAATCTTTGAGGTTCGCAAAGCTACAAGTCACATTTGCAGTGGCGTATCCAGGAATTCGAAATAGAGTTTCCCAGGGAGGAACTTTCACAAGTGGAGGCTGTACCCACGTCAGCCCCACCATGGTTGGGGCTGAGGTAAGAAAAATTATGACTATGGCACCTCTAGATGGTCGGAAATGGCACTCTCAACTTAAATTTGAATATAATTTTCTTTTTTTCTCAATATTTTTTGGGTAAAAAAAATAGGGGTGGGGAGGGGGCCCGGGGCTGGCTTCTCTCTCCCCCTACCTTGAATCCGCTACTGATCTCTTATACATCACTTTAGGCCTGTCGACTTTAAAGGTATGATTATTGAATGGTGAGTCTATTTGCACCGGATAAAGAAGGGGAAGGCGGGCTGAATGTATACACATATAAATGTATACCGGTACGCCAGTAATTATAATAGAGCTATTATAGGCTTTTTCGTGCTTTCAGTAGGCCTAATTAGACAGTACTCGTAATATCGTGACAAGTAAACCTAGACGATAACTCATTGCAGATGTCGACTTTGGCGTCAATGCTTGCCCCATTATGTGATATGCAGGGGTCATTGCTAGCCTCATGGTGGGTCAACCTCACAAGGTCGTCAACATGTCGTCGTAGTCTACCTGGACAGCCTTCTTCATCGCAATAATGGTTTCTAAGTTGTTCCATTCTTTCACCTGGTTCTGTTAATCGTTTCCATTTTGTTCTGCAAAACGGCACAACAATAATGATAATTAATAATAATGATAATAAATAGCAATAACAATAATTGGTCTAATAGAAATTTGATATATAATAATAATTATTATTATTATTATATTAATTCAAAAGATGATGAAGAAGAAATATGGTACTGGTAAAGATATTATTCTCCTGATGACGAATGAAGCAACTGAATCGAAACATCGAGTCTCTCGACTAAAAACAAATTTTCTTTGCAGAACTATTTACGTGGTGTGCTGAAACATTAATTATTGACAATTATAAATAATTAAATGACATTCATTGAAACAATGATACCGAATGATGATGTTAATAATAATCATAGGTCTAATAATAATGTACCGTAGTATTTGAAATTGTCAATCGCTTTTTTTTTTCTTTTTTAAAAAAGAAATCTTCTTTTTTAACCTTCTGTTGCATGTGTATTTGCATAATTTATATCTTGTATTCGTATTTTGGAAGGTAAAAGTGAATGAATAATTAATCAATTTGAACTGGTTATTCATAAGAACATGTCAGATTTTACTTTTACCGTGCTTTTTATTTATTACCGGTAAGTCTGGAATACGTGTTCAATGTAGCCGTTCTTTGTTACTAACTTTGGTATGGAGAAACACTTCCATTAGCGATATTATAAAAATGATAATAGCCTATATAATTTGTTAGGCCCTATGTTTTGAGATTTAATTGACATTCTCAGATGTTAGCAGCATTATATTTATCATCATTGTTTATGGTATTGGCTATGAAAAATCTTATGTTGATAGTCAGGGCTTGCTAAAAAAATCTAATTCCACCAGCACTTTTTACGTGAATAACATAGTGTAGGCCTACCTTCTGTTTTGGTACCAAGTCTTCACCTGGGTCTCATTCAAGTTGAGGTTGTTCGCCAACTCACCCCTATCCACCACGCTCAGGTATTTCTGACAGCGAAACTTCTTCTCTAGAACAGCTAGCTGAGACTGTGTGAAGGTTGTGCGGCGCCTCCTAGGTCTCTTTGGCTTTATTGGCAGGGTGGCTGGCAAAGGAGCTTCTGACTTGTGATCGTCACACGGGGTCTCCGGCTTCGGAGGTGAGAACGAGAAGTTTCGGTTGAAATCAAGTGTGAGGATTCTTGGACGGAAGAATTTTAATGTGTTTTCCACGGCTTTGGCTAAGAATGGTAAAATCAACATTGAATAATTAATTTGAGGACTGCTACGATTATCATTGCAAACTACCGTTATACATCTATCCAATCATTTAAGGTAACATTATACTGTAGTCAAAAACAATATTTAAGTTCGAATCGAATGCAATCTCTACTTATACAGTATCATCTCAGTAAACGTACATTAGTAGGCCTATAAGTTGATAAGTTGTAAGTTAACCAATCAAATTAACAACTGAGCAGTCATAACGTGTTGCCTAATAGCCAGGGGTATGCCCAAGTCCTATAAATACAACTTTATGTTCCCCCACCCCACCAAACACATCTCATTGTGTGTGTATTATACACACACAATGAGATGTTGCTGAGCGCACTCACGAGTTGAATATCTTCTCATGTCATCTCATTCAACCCCAGCTTGTTCCCATCGCACACACCCCTTTCCCTATTCCATTTACTTGAACGTTTGTTCACACAGTGAATTTCTTTAGATGGCTGTGACATGTAGACTAAAAGTTCATTGTGTGAACGGGTAACGAAACTTGTAGATAAGTAATAAATCACCTGAGTGCTGTTATTGCTCTTACAGTTTGTAACAGATACAATCTTTGACGTTGCGCTGTCGGTGAATCCGAAGCAAAATAACGTGACCACGTTTATATGATTTTAATCATTTAATGATACATGTGTTGAAGCACACTCGACGCATTTAAAACCACTTTTAGATGATCTTCCATCGATAGTGCAAACACGATATCGTCGGCATAGATGGATTTCACCATGTATATTAGTTGATATTAATAGCCTGAAGTAGATTAACGCATACTTTTAAAAGGCCTTCGCGAAACTGTTTAGATACCTTGTCGGGGAAAAGTTGGATCTATGATGCAGTGTAAACGAATTTTGTCCGCCGATTGTTTGCTTGGTAAATCTATAGTATCCTAGGCTTTCCTGAAACTCAATTAACTTTCAGCTACATCGTGTTACTTAGTTTGCTTTTGTCATCTAATATCATCGTCAGTTTGGTGTCGGTTTAAATTGGCCAACGCTGTCGGCGATTCCACTCTAGAATGAAAGACTGATTACTCGATAACGCACTGAGTTCACTACACGCGTTTGCTGAAACACGTAACACAATTTGTGATACACGTGAACGCAGGACGTAGCATCGTTACTTCACAAAACTACTGGTTACTGAACTGGTATCAACGTCTGATTGTGTAGGTTCATGGAATTATATCATAGGCCTCCTTAGCTATCGGATTTTGTTTAAAATGACAAATCCTAACACATATTATAGAAACGCGAATATTCAACTAGACCTACATACAGGGGACCTAAGTCTAGGTCTACGCATTTTACATCATGTTTGTGCACCAGATATAGCACATTAGTATATTTTTTTCAAGCTAAAATCGACGTTTTTTTATGTTAGTTGTGTCGATGAAAGAACATTTTCCGTGCATTGAGGAAATTTGGTAATAATATAACGCGGTTAAACATGTTTGGTGTCGAATAGGCTCAGCGTAAACTTGTAAGATAATTACCCTAATTATTAATATTATTATACATCTAATAATTACATAACCTAAGGTTATTTTAATACCGTGAATTATTGGCCCAATAAATAACAGGATAAATCAGCCGTTCTCTGTCCCGGAATATAAAGGTACCGTATGTTTCATGCAGTACAGTAAATATGTAAGACAATGACACGTAAACAATATATCCGTTAAAGATACAAGGCTGCAAAAAATAGGACAATACATAGGCCTAATTCAATTAAAACTTTTTAAAAAAATTTAAAATAGTCAAGTTAAGTTTCGACCTGAAACAGATTGAAAAAAATATAGAAATAGTTATCATTGATTTATATACTTTTTTTATAAAATTCTTTAAGTTGATTACCAGCTAATTTTAAGGGTCTATGCAAAAGAATACAGTATTGATAACAGTGATGGCGCCAGGATCTGACTGACAGGGAAGCTAAAGGCCCCGATGGGGGGGGGGCTAGGTGAGCGACGAGAGCCTCACTTGGCTGGGCGGGGGAGGAGCAGCCGCCTAGGGGCCACCGGAGGGGGTCCAGGGCGAATCCTCCTGGAAGCTACATAGGCTTCAAGCTACCGTAATATGACTTCATGTAGGCCTATGTTTTTTAATATCGAAAATAATTTCCAAAACATTTCAATACATAACATTAATATGCACTGACATTTTAAAAAATGACACTGTTCTGTTGACTTACGTTCCAACGTACTTAATTCATTGTGAAAGAAGAATATCTTGTTCCATGGGCTTAATTCAACGTGAAAAGTAATATATACGGTAGTCTGATAACTTACAATAAAACGGAATAAAACGGCACGTGAATTTATGTTATTATTATTATTATTATTCATTATTATTGTTTTTGGTTTTTTTTATATTATTGTAATGAAAAGTTAACACAAACAATACACAAATAGGTCAATGAAGGCGATATGGTTGCTAAACGAACAGACATGTAAAAATATTTTTTTATTTTTTTTATTCCCTGACGGAATGTACTCGTCTTCCCCGACCAGGGGTGGGGGAGGGGGGCTAGGCTTCCCGACGAGAGGGCTATAGACCCCTCAGCCTACCCCCCCCCCTCTGGCGCCACCACTGAATGATAATAATTCTGTTCCAGTATTTTATTTATTTTTTTATTTATTTACAATCACATTTAAGCCACTTACAGAATGGATCTAAAACGCTAAAATACAAAGAGAATAGAAACTTCAAACAATCTTTAAAATATTACTAAAAAAATCACATTTAAAACCAACAAAAAAATGTCAATAGAAATTAACTTTTTCAACACAATAATTTTAAACAGTCGATTAATACGAGAAACAAAACCATTTTGGAACGTTGACTATACGGGACATATAACAGATTACATTTACAATGATGGGTACGGCAACTAACATACATGGAAATTAAAGAGATCTCAGACATTAAATCACAGTCAAAACGGAATTCATACATTTGTACATAAACTGAAGATCAAACAACAAATGAAGAGAATCAAGGAAAGGAAGAGAAATAAAGGGGACAAAAACAAGTACAATAAACAAAACGATCCTGGGACTTTTTTGAAGACGGGTACAATGAAAAGGGGCAGGGACCTGGGAAAACTAAGTGAAAAAAATAATAAAATAGGATAAATAAATAAAAATTATTAAACGTATTTATTCATCAGTATCATTCATGTGTTTTTCCCACGAGAATGGTGAATAAAGCCGACCGTTCATCGATGAAAGCTGGTAATTAATCGTTTCTAATTCTTTTTCATGCATATTTTCATGACTTCTACTGCTTTAGAGTTTATGTTTACAATAATAGTAACAACTTTCATAAATAATAATTATGAAAGTTTTTGACCCTCCTGGACATCGTCATACATACAAATTAGAAAATACGAATGGACCTGATAGAGATTCGATTGTCAAATAAATACTAAATAATTATATTATACTATTGGCGGATTTAGAGGCGACCAGGCCCCTACCCCCTAAATTTGTTAAAATTTAACAAAAATTGAGAAAAAAGGAAAATTCTACTCAAATTTAAGTCTAAGAGTGCCATTTCCGGCCGTACAGAGAATCATACATTTTCTAACCTCAGCCCCGATTATGGTGGGGCTGAGGTACATAGACCGTCTATCTGTGAATGTCTGGGCCCCCCTCTATTTCAAGTTCCTGAATCCGCCACTGTAAACTATGATACCTAAGTTATAAATCCTTTCAGAACGTTTGAATAAAAGGAAGGATAGCTTTTACTTTTCATGCTTCTATACTTCATTTTTTATGACCTGGTGGAATTAGGCACTCTATAATCCATTAAATTAGTCCTCTAATCCGTTAAAAGGTCATAGATATAGGGAAGGGGTAACCAGGGATCTACCCTTCGATCCCACTGGGCCCTATGCGGCCCCAAATGCCCCAACCAATGGGCCCGGGCACCGAAAATGCCCCGATCTCAGCGGCCTGGGTTAGTTGGAAGTGTATCTGAAAGTAATCGGAAGGTCTCGGGTTCGAACCCAAATTGGGAAAAGAAAAATATTATCAACCACAATTAAAGCTTTACATTGAAATGGAGTTTAATTTTAAAGGCAATAATATAATTGATTTGACTTGAGATGTCAACGTTATGAGTCGTTATAAGAACACACCATGCGAAAACAAAAAAATATCCGCATCGGGGTTATAGTATTTCATTGAGCATAATTGCTGTTGTCTTTATATACTTTAGATTAAGTGAATTTGTATGGTAGCTGACAAATGTACATGGAAGACTCCTTTGTTAGCTACCATGTATTTTGAGAAAAAATAATTTATGAATTATGAATTTATTATTGTCATTCGTTCCTAGTAATTTATACAGTTTTTTTTACCCTATTTTTTTAACTACGGTAGATCTTTGAGGTTTTCTGAGGGTTAAATTTTGACACTTTTGAATATAGTACTACCGTATTGCATTACAGATGTACAGTTATTAATTTATTACTATTAATATTATTATTATTATTATTATTATTATTATTATTATTATTATTATTAATACATCATTGTGTTTGTCTACGCTTAGAATAATAGGCCTAATAATTATAGGTTAAAACAAAATCTAATGTTTGACCTTATACCGAATGTGTATTTATCACATAAATAACAAAAGAAAAACAATCAGTTCGGTATTCACCGAAACCGCAGATTTAGACATGACTGCAAACAAACAATACACAATTTATTAATAGAACGTCGCTTACCATGTATCTCAGACAATATTGAGTCTGACGAAAACGGGAACGATTTTGGTGTATCGGTGACGACAGGTACGATGGTGGTCCCGTGATCATACGAGGGTCCAAGAATGTCCCGGATGAAAAACGAACGTTTCCTACCATAATCAGTCATAATGTTCAGCAAAAAACGGAAAACTTGTTTCGATAAAAATGGTTAACAATGTTTAATTAGAAGTTTATAAATTAAAAACAAGAATAATTCGTTTCGAGGATGCCTTTAACATCTGGTAATTTGCAATCTAACACTTGTTGAAAGTAGAAAACTTGTAAACCTATACTTGTAGCCCTGTTGCAGTAGGTATAATCAATTTGGCTAATCTAACACATCCACATTGTCTGCAGTAATAACCTGGTAATATATGTCCACCTCAGCTTGTAAAATTTGCAAAAAAAAACTTAGCTCTTTAATTTGTTAAAGTTTGCAGAAAGGGAACACAGAATTATCAGTACGTATTTTGAGCACTAACCTCGTTGCAAACTTAAGTTGTAAGAAGTCGTTTGTGGTGTGTTAAACTATATTAGGCGTAGAGCTTGAACGAAATAATTATTTCCACTCTGCAAACAACTGATGTGATATAATCAACGTAAACAGGTTACCACTTCCTAGCACAATTCTGCCTTTATATCTTGGCCTGCAATTTGATTTCTCAAAAGATAGGTCTCGACTAGAACACCACGCGTCGCCACGCGTCTATAATATTACATGGAAGAAGTTAAAATTTAGACACTTTAAACATTGTAGGCGATCGCTTATCTTTCAGGAGCTCTGTGGGCAGAATGAGCGAGTCTCTAAAAATGGAATCATAATTGGAGAACTTTCTTCGATTTATACCCGCTCAGGTATCCTATTAGCCCGGTATTTGCACACATTATCGATGGTTTGGCAATACATCATGGCCTAGGCCATGGTAATACGCATTAATAAGCAATTATTATTGTCACATTTCCACTGTGTTCGTCTAATTGTTGATAATTAAAGCGTTTAGGTTTTCGGTGATGATTGCTGGATACTCCTCCGGTGATTTATTAGACACGTTTCTCAAAGCTTTTTTCACAACAAATACGAAGTCTTATTGACAGGTTGGATCCCCACGAGATGACTAGGTATCAATTCATTTATAGATTGCATGCTTTTAATTAATTGGACGTTTTATTCGATAGCAGCTCGTTAGGCTGATGAGACAGCACCAGATAGGGAGTGACTAAGAACCACCCGGATGATGATGACTTGTGGCTTTTCAAGAATAGGCCTACCTATGGTATCAAAACCCCCCAGAAAAAACGCTAGTGGACAATGATCAGAAGGTGATGACAGATCGGCTATTTGGCAATTTAGTTAATTATAAATATTTACTCACTATAGAGTTAATTTCTTTGACGTAGGCATGCCGATGCTATCTCTTCGTATATTGTTTTCTATGCGACTCAAAATGTGGTGTTGATATGCATATCAAAATTAGTCGGAAAACATCTTTAATTACTATAATTTAGTTGAGTTAACCTCGATACATGAACTTTGATTCACAAGCGATGCTGTCCCAAGTAATCACGTGACCAAACCGTAGAGTAGTAAAGAAAAGCGAAACAAACACTTCAATCATTACAAACCACACGATAGGTATTTACTCAATAATTTGCGCTCGCGTGGGTAAAGTAAAATTCCACGAGAGTAGGCTTAATTGACATTATTCACTATGATTTGTTAGTCACGAAGATCTTTAGTTGGCCACCAATCAACATTCAGTCTACGATTTATAACACAGTAAACAACATATTATGGTCCTTGTTTGAAACTGTTATCATATTTTTGGACCAAAAAGGAATATAAAAATTAGAAAATATAAAAACCCACATATTGATATATGTTGTTAATCATTCCGTTTTTGTTGTTGTTGTTGTTGTTGTTGTGTATAATATATATATACATATATATATATACATATATATACAT